CTGTCTCTCAGAGAAGCAGCGTCCCACCGAGACCCGGCTTTCATTCTCTTGTCTGTCTTTTCTAAGCCTTTCAGCCACCCCACTCAGGTTCACCCCATGCTGGCACGGCACACTTTAGAAAGATCTGCCTCCATGCTCCCAGGTCGGGTTCCTGCCTCAAACTCCGCCCTTACAGGAAACAGCTCCGGGAAACAGCTTGGGGGAGGGCGCAGTCGTTGCCAAGACAACCCCTGTAGGACTGACTTCCTTCCGCTTAGTCTCGGCTGTTCGTCTGTATGTGATGAACACCACCCATGGTTTTTATATAAGTAGATATATACATATATATATCTATCTTCATCTACTAAAATGTGTGTGTGTGTGTGTGTGTGTGTGTGTATATATATATATATATATTTATGGATTGCCTCTACAGTCTTGGAACACATAATTTGAATGTATTTTATTACAAATGAAGGAGGAAACTGAGGTACAAAAGATGATCAGCCGTCTCCTCGTCAGGCAGCAGATTATGAGGCAGTAGTGGGTGCTGCTGGTGCAAAGTTGAGACGTCCTGGTGGGAAGTGAAGAAACATGCCTCTGTGTCTCCGAGAGAATTGGTGATGAGATAACTGGAAAATATCATTCACCAAAATGAGTTCCAGATGGGTTAAGGAGAAATGTTTAAAATTCTAGAGATTGTGGAGAAATAGCAAAGTAAAATGTTTGTCAGAGATAGGGTCTTAAAACTTTCTTGCTCCATTTTATTAGCCATGTGCTTGTGAAGGAATGATAACATTTTCTTTAGAAGCAAAACTCAAAGGAAAAGGTTTACAGAACTAAATATGCAAAATGTTAAACTATTTACTCATTAAAAATAAAATTATGGAATGCCAAATATAACAAAAGGTCAGTACACATACTTTTCTTTCAAATTTGTTGGAATAAATACATCAAGATTTCAATAAAGAGGTAGGCGGACAAAGAAATTAATAGACCCTATGGGAAATTTCAGATGTAAATATACATGAAAAGCATTCATCTTCGTCTACTAATCAGAGAAATGCCAGATAAAGTAGCCACTTCTGATCCACCAAAGTGGGGAAAGTTTAGTGATATCTCTACTTCCTTTTCAGAGTATGTGAGTCAAAGAGGAAGTGAAATTTTATATTAATTCTATAACCCATTTTGGGGTTCCCTTTATTGTACATTTTTGTCAGGTTCACTCTTTAAATGGTTATTTAAAGATGTCCTATCCTGCTATTTTATTCAGCAACTGCTCTTTGAACTCCCACTGTAGGGAAGGCCCTACAACTACGACTTTTTACAGGAGTCACATTTTCTGGGATGTTCCTTTTATTTGTGGTGCTACAGTTATCTGAGTCACATTTTTATTGGCTTCTTTAAAATATGCTGTAGTTTTTGACAAGTGCTCCGAACTGTTGTGTGGAAATCATTTGAAGTATGTCCTACTCTTGGGATCTGGTTAGAATTGCATCCCCTAAGTAAATGAGGTGTTAATATTCATTTGAGGCTTGGGGTGAAACACTTGACTAGATGGGTCATTTCTATCCTGTAGAACCCTGAGAAGTCAGGCTGCAAGGTCAGGGCTCCGAGATTTTTCTCAACACACAGTATAGCATAGTTGGGAAAGAATGACCTATTCACTCATTTCAAAGCCGGGTGAAGTTCAGGTTAACAGTGCTGGTGTTACTTAGCTCAGTATTAAATGACAGATGGGAGGGATAGGCGTCGTCTTTGCTCCTCTGGGCTTTAGACGGTCTCCTTTCCGGGCACACTGCTTAATGCTCCGGCCTGTGTCTGGAGGGATTCCTCCCGCGGTTCCAGTGACCAGTCGCCCCTTAGTGTGTCTGGGTAAAGTCAGCTGTTCACAGAATGGGAATCTTTCCTACTGTCCTCCAAGTTTTTTCCCCCCAGTTGAAAAGATTTCATTTCTAAAAATCTAATCTACAGACTCATAATTTTAAGGTTTATAAAGCATCTATGCATATACAGATGTTAGACTTCTAGTTTCTAGTCATTTTGTTTTTATTTTTAAACAAAAGGGATATGCAAAAATTATAGGGTTTCCCTCAGTCCCCAAGTTAAGTACTTTTTAAAAAATGGGGTTTATATATGGGAGCTATTGACATTCATTTAGATAAGTAAAGTAACTCTAGGGAATTTTAACTACGAAAGATTAATTTACTCATTAGTGTTAAGTGTGTTTTATTATATTATAGGTGTTTTTTAAAAAAATGTATTATTGATTTCAGAGAAGGAAGAAGGAGAGAGATAGAAGCATCAGTGATGAGAGAAAATCATTGATTGGCTGCCTCCTACACACCCCACACTGGGGATTGAGCCTGCAACCTGGGCAGTGCCCCAACCGGGAATTGAACCATGACCTCTTGGTTCATAGGTCGACACTCAACCACTGAGTCGGCTCCATTGATTTTTTAAGAGAGAGGAAGGGAGGAAGGAAAAGAGGGAGGAAGGCAGAGAGAGAGAGAGAGAGAGAGAGAGAGAGAGAAACGGATGTGAGAGAGACATATCGATTGGTTGCCGCCCGCTTGCACCATGACCGGAGCCCAGGGAAACCTGCAATCCAGGTTCATGCCCTTGACTGGGAATCGAACTCTCGACTCTTCAGTGGGTGGGCTGACACTCTAACCACTGAGCACATCAGCCAGTGCTGTATTCCAGGTTTTTGAAAGCCAAGGGGAGGAGTTTCAAGTCCCGGCTGTCAAGCTTATGCTAACCAGTGAACAGGACTTCATGTTGAGCGTATCTGCCCACTCCTCAACAGTCTTGTGAGACAGGTGTTATTATTGTCCCCCTTCTACCAGTGAAAATACTGGCGCACACACAGTGAACTTGCCCAGGGCACATTTCTAGTAAGTATTTGGGCTGGAGTTTGAACTCTGATGACCACAAAACCTTCCGTCTTCCTATTTATTACCACCACTTTCCGGCAGTTGTAGTACTTGAGAGTCACCCACGCATGTACTTACCACCTACTGGCCTCACACTGATTTCAGGCAGATGATAGGTGAAGAATAGAGCTATTGCAACCACTCGGAAATAGCCAAGCAAACATCCTGTTCCAATTCAGCCTTCAGGTACTTGGGGCTGCAGAGTGAAGGAGAGGTGGACAGAAGCCCATGTCTAGCCATGTTGACGTCTGTCTTTGTTGTGTATTTGCCTTGTTACATGGCTGCAATCCAGTTGTGTCTATGCTATTTGAACAACTTGAAGTATGGGCTACATTTACTCAGTAGGTCATTTATGTGATTAAATACTTCATCCCACTGTTTCATAACTATTAAAATGTGCCCCCGGTATAGAGCCATATATTTTTCAGGGAAGTACTCCACCTTAGGCTAGTGTTGTTAAACAGCGCCCCTAATGTGTTTCACTGGAGCGCAGGGTAGTTTTTTTTCCTTATTAAATTTGCTTAGAATTTCCTATACTCACGTGTCTGGTCAACCTGTGCTTCTTGTCTTCCTGCAGTCTTTATGGGCTTCCCTGTAAGCACCAGTACACTTAGTGGTGAGGTCTAGAAGTCTCCTTTCTTGCTTTTCTTATTTCCCTACCTCTGGGAATTGTACTTGCTTGAGTCTCCAAGTCTAGCCCATTAGAGGCAGATAAAGCTCCTTTTGCTCTGTCTACCAACTTTGGGAATTGACGTAATTCTTAGAAACATAAAACCCAGGTAACTCAAAGCACAAAACCCAGTTTGATACACAGACTGTCCATTTGCAGTTTGGAACTTCAGATTTGGATCTGCTTAGTGAGCTGCTCGATCCCCAGAGCCTCTGCAGTCATACGTCAGTTGTGATTGAATGAAGCAGTGACGGCTTTTCTTAAGTCAGATGCCTCTGGCGTCCAGTTTTGCGTTGCCAGTCCAGAATGGTAGACCTGGACTGGATTTGTTCCTTAATATCTATTGATTGAGGACCTATTCAGCGTGAGCCCTGTGAATGCAGGAGTGAACGAGGCAGACAAGTCTGCCTTCTTGGAGGTTACATTCTAATAGAGGAGACAAGCAATGAGTTTCTGATAGTAACCCTAGTAATAACGCTGGAGTGCTTCCTGTGGGTCAGACACTGTGCCACGCATGTTACATGATTCACTCTGAGGTGGTCCTGTGTTAGCCTTGTTATTTCAGTTGTGGGCGCTGAGACCGGAGAAGTTAAGACCACTCATCCCCCAAGCTTACAGAGCAGGAGTCTGGCTCCATGGTTAGTTTTCTGACTGTGGCGATAAGTGCCCTGAAGAGAAAGAAAATGCAGAACACCCTGGGTGATTTCAGAGACCTGAGAGTTGGGGTACTCGGATTGGGTTGCCAGAGAAACCAGTCTCAACATTTGGAGGTGAAATTTGACCTGACACCTGGCTGACAGGAGTGAGGCACTCCCAGTAGCTGGACCCAGTTTGTTCTGGGCAGAGAAGAGCAGTTCTGAAAGCTCTGCGTCGGGAAAGCTGGGAGTGTGCAGACAAGGGAGGCTAGGAGATCTGGGACTCAGAATGGCAGCTGCCGGCCACACTGGGGAGGCCCCGGCTGGCTGTGGTCAAGATTTCAAATTTATTCTAGGGCCTGTGGGAAGCCAATGATGGGCATCAAGCAGGGGCGGGGCACGGGTTGATGACATGATTGTGGAGAAAGAGTTTAAGAGTAGAAACAGGGATGCAAGACGTGGGGAGAGTTTAGAGTTGTTTCCAACTCGTTAGGTTTGCGTGAACCTCTGTATCTTTGTTTGCTTATTTACCAAAATGTAGATGAAATATAAATATCTCCGTGCTTGAAGAAAATGATGGCAAACAGACTAATTCCATCCCCCTTTCTCACTCCCCAACAACAAACGCCAGTCCTCTCTCCAGCCTTAGCTCTACTGTTCGCTGCCTGGCGTGCCTAACACCCTCGCCACTGTGATGTCACCTCCTAACATTCTGTGTGATTGACTTACTATCTGGTTTCCTGTCAGGCCCCCTCTGCTGGAATGTAAATTCCCTGAAGGCAGAAATCTGTTTTGTGCCCTGATATTTCCAGGCTTCCAGATGGAAGAGCAATGCCTGGCCCTGTTAGCCTCATTGTAGGTGCTCAGTACATATTTGATGGGTAAGTGAATATAGAGTCAGTGGAAAATAAGGTAGTTTATCCTTTAGCTCCCAGGCAGCTGCATTTGAAGTCGCATGGGATCTGCAGCTGCTCTCCATCCTGAGCGCAGAGTCTTCTAGACTTGCATTCTTTCTCTTCCTCAGTGCTGACATGTCTTTTGAAATGGCACCCTTTTGATTAAGTAAAACTAATAAATAGATGTTATTTGAGGCATAATTTTTCTTTGTCTAAATTTGTTTTTGGCCTTTTTTTCATTTCTGGTTTTTAGACTTTTATGATTTTCCCCTTTAATTATCAGTTGGAATTTTTAAAGACTTTAGAAGTTATTTGGATATTAATGTAGGAAGGTGGTAGTGATAATGAGAAATAAATTATATGAGAAACTAATTTTATCAGTTGTAGTTATGACAGATATCAGAAATTTTTACTTATTTGTCTCAACAACAAAAATGTGAGCAAGAAGGAATTCGGTGCTGTGGCATGCGCACAGGGCTGGCCAGGACACTTGGTCCTAGTTTTGTCCAGTGATCATAACCACCCTTTATTGTGTGTCCACTGTCTGCCTGCCGGCCGCTCTGTTAAATGCTCCAAATAGCATTTCTGACCGTATCCCTTAAGGCTGTCACTACAGCACCCAGTTTATCGGTGAGGAAATTGAGTCCCAGAGAGGAGTTAAGCACCTTGTCCAGGATCACACAAGTAGTGAGCAGCATGGGGACTAGACACCCACCAGGCTGCTGCTCTCTGCCATCTTCTCTCTTCTCTGAGCTTCAGTTTTCCTACTTTTAAAATGAAGGGGTCAGTACTGGAAGGTGTGCTCAGTGGTTAGAGCACCAGCCCACACTCCAAAGGGTCACAGGTTCAATTCCCCATCAAGGGTACGCATCTGGGTTGCAGCTTCTATCCTGGGTTAGGGAGGCAACCAATTGATATGTGTGTCCCTCCCTCCCTCCAACTTTCTCTAAAAATTAGTGGGGAAAATATCCTCAGGTGAGGATTAACAAAAATAAAAGAAATAAATAGAATGAAGGGGTAACATTTAAACTATGACAAAGAACTTCATCACATTGAGTGAGAAAGGCTCTGAGGTTCTCCACAGCCCACTGACCCCTCAGTTGAACCCACTTTTGTGGAGCTGCTCCTCTGTGACCGCAGTGTGAGATGCTGTTAGACTGCAGAAAAGGATGAGGCCCGGTCTCTCTGTCCCGGTGGGTGAGGGGCTGTGCTCCCCTAGTAGCTGTCGGCTCCAGGGTCGGTGTGGCCAGTGCCCTGTTGGTCAGCAGTAAACCTTGCCCGTCGTTCCCGACACCAGAGGAAGGGGCATCAGGCCTGCTTGGTGGGCAGAGGCAGGCACCCAGTGCTTTGGGGGGTGGTGGCTGTGCAGTGGAGCCAGCATGGGTTTAAAGACATGCTCCTCCTCAGTGCTTCTGGTGGGAGCACAGTCATTTTGGAGGAGAGACTGGGGGGGGGGGTTCTTTTAACCCTGTACATTCCCAACGCAACTTGAGAATTTGTTACCGTGCTGTTTCTACCTCAGGCTAAGACAGCCTCTTAGAACCTACGTTTTATCACCTGTAAAGTCAGGAGAGGGTCACCCTACGGAAACACTTAAGATATGTACATATGTAATACTTTCAACAATAAAGATTTAATTTAAAAAAGATGTATTCAACTATAAAACTTTAAACAAATGTTTGGTATCAACATGCTACTGGAAATGCAAAATACTGTGTACTCTGTTCATTTGATACCTCAGTGATGCTTATTATTTTATTTATATTATTTTTAAACATATTCTTATCAAAGGGAGAGAGAGATAGAAACATCAATGATGAGAGAGAATTGTTGATCGGCTGCCTCCTGCACGCCCTGCACTGGGGATCAAGCCCACAACCCGGGCATATGCCCTGACTGGGAATCGAACCAGCAGTCTTTTGTTTCACGGGATGACGCCCAACTAACTGAGCGACACTGGCCCAGGCATCTTTCTTTTTGAAAAATTTATTGATTTTTAGAGAGATGAAGGGGGAGGGAGGGAGAGAGAGAGAGAGACAGAGACAGAGACAGAGACAGACATCGATTTGTTGTTCCACTTACTTATGCAATTCTTGTATGTGCCCTCCTGGTGATTGAGCCTATCGGGATGACGCTCTAACCACTGTACTGCCCTGCCAGAGCTTGCTCTCTTTTCTAAGTTGAACTTGCTGGGACATGTGATGGCCACAGATGGTAGGTAATGGAATTTACGGGCAGATGTTATGGAGCCAGGCAGCCTGAGGTCAGACCCTAGCAACCCCATTACTGCTTTGGGCCTCCGTTTTCTTATCAGCAGGAAAAAGTGAGTTCATACACGTAAAAATGAGTTTCTAATCAGTACTTACCACATAGTAAACAGTGACTGTTTTAAAGGGGATTTTTGAGCCGTTTTATCTGTTAAAGAACATCTGGAGAGACGGGAATAGAAATAATCTGATCAGAGGAATTAAAGGCTTTGAGCTCTATCCTGAGCAGGACGGGTTTCATCAGCCTGAAGCTGTGCAGAGGAACCTTAAACATAGGAGGGCGTCTGTCCTGCGAAAGTAGGGAGCTGGCTCGGAATGTGCGCAGTGAGGGTTCTGACTCGTGGTAGTGGGTTCTCCTTTATGTAGGGGGTGGATCCAGTGTTGGGCTCCCTCCTGCCGGTAGAAAAGGGGTTTGATTCCCTTTTCATTGACTGGCACAGCACCCCTTCTAGAATGTTAGGTTTCTGAGAGTTTGTGATGGATTTCTGGCCTGGGCATCCAAGTCTCTTCTGCTTTCCCACCCGAGGCGCCGGCAGGGTGTGGACTGTCTCTGCAGCGCTGTTCCGAGCCCTTTGCCAGGCTTAGCCCGAAGTGTCAGCTCCTCTACGCCTGTTTAAAGTCTTGCCACTCTTCAGGGAAACACTAATACCATATGGTTTCACTTACATGTGAGATCTAAAAACAAAATAAATGAACAAACAAAACAAAAACTCAAAGATACAGAGAACTGATGATTGCCGGGGGGGAGGGGTGCAGTGGGGTGAAAAAGGTGAAGGGATTAAGAGGTACAAAACAGTCACTGGGATATAAAGTACAGCCCAGGGAATATAGTCAGTATTGTAATAACTATGGTGCCCAGTGGGTACTGGACTTATGGGTGATCACTTAAGGTCTATAAATGTCTGATCACTATTTTACACCTGAAATTAATATAATGTATGTCAACTGTACTTGAAAAATAAAAAAAAAATCTTGTCATTTTTTTCAGCAAAGGCTTCACTTTGACTTATTTTAAAGCTTTTTTTTCTAGCTTTATCTATATACTAGAGGCCCAGTGCATGAAATTCGTGCATGGTGGGATCCCTAGGCCTGGCCAGTGATCGGAGCTGATCGGGGCCAGGCTGATCAGGGCCGGGCCGGAGAGGAGGCAACAGTTGCTGGGCCAGGTGCAGAAGGAACGGACGCTGGACGCTGACGCCCCATTGTCGGCACCCCGCCACCATGCAGTTCCCTGTCTCCCCCTTTCCTCCTTCCCTCACTGCCCTGCTACCACCATGGTGGCCAGGCAGCGAGCCAATCAGGGTCTGCTGGGTGGGGGGAGGGACAGGGGATGGGAGGTTGACTGCCGGCCCAAAGGAGGGAGCCGGCCCTTGACCCCTCTGGGAAAGGGGCCTCGACCACCACCACCCACCCTAGTTCTCCATCCCAGCCCCAGAGCCTGCTGGCCGGGGGGGAAGTACCGCAGGAGGTTGGCCAGCTGGGGGAGCTTGGCCATGGGAGCGCACTGACCACCAGGGGGTAGCTCCTGCATTAAGTGTCTGCCCCCTGGTGGTCAGTGTGCGTCATAGCAACTGGTCGTTCTGGTCGTTCCAGTCGCTTAGGCTTTTATATACTAGAAGCCCAGCGCGCGAAATCACACGGCCCTGCCCACCAACGCTGGTCTTTGGTCGTTACGGCATTAGGGCCAAGGACTTTTTATACATATAGATAGATATAAAAGCCTCAGCTACCTTTACGACCAAACAACTGGTTGACCAGTCGCTATGATGTGCACTGACCACCAGGGGCAGACACTCAACACAGGAGCTGCCCCCTGGTGGTCAGTGCGCTCCCATGGCCAACCTCCCGCGGGCCCTCCCCCTGGCCAGCTGGTCCCGATTGCCCCGATCAGAATCTCCCGCGGCCCCTCTCCCTGGCTGGCTGGTCTCAATTGGCCCCGATCGCTGGCCAGGCCGAGGGACCCCACCCGTGCACGAATTCGTGCACCAGGCCTCTAGTTGAGGTATAATTGACAAAACTGTAATATATTTAAAGGGTCCTCATGACAATTTCATATGTGTATACATTGTGATCAGGTTGGTGAACACAGTCATCACCTCACTTGGTTACTTACTGGTTTTTGGTGAGGGATGTGAGCCTCACGAGCTCTTCCAGAGAAGTTAGGGTGTCCCTTGTAGCAGGTACCCTACTTCAAGAACAAACAAAGTCGAGTCACTACTATTTGTGAAACTTTCTCCCAGGGCTTGCTTACAAAAAATGAATTAGAAATTGTGTCCTTGTTCTTCACGGGCCCACAAACTGGTGATGGAACAAGCATCTACACAAGTAATTTGGTCTTGTTTGAAAATGGCTGAAAGGAGGTGAGAATAAGGTGTCTTGGAACACAAGAGGCCAAGTGCCAAGCTCAGGGCCTTGGGAAAGCTTCACAGAACAGGAGCTATTTGAGTTGGGGCTGAAAGGTTTGGAAGAGAGACTAGTTCAGTCATGTCGTTAAAGCTCCTTGAGTTGGTGCCAGGCACCATGTGTGAAAGAAGGGGCCATTGACCGCTCCCTCACTGTGCTGCCTCTTCTGTGCTGCTGTCTTTAAAGCTCAGTAGGTGTTCATTCACCAGGTGACTGCCACCTGTCCCGAGCCACCTGGAAGCACCTGCTTAGCTCTAAAAGCATCTCTCTCTTTTTAATATCTCTATCTATCTGTCTGTCTGTCTGTCTATCTTT